TGACTTACCCATGTCGTTTCCTTTCATCGCATGAAATCAGCATCCACTCACCCAAAGGAGGACTCGCTGTATCGGCGCACCCTGAAGCCACTGAGACTAGGGAGTGCCCCAGATTAACATTGTTGAGAGAGATAGTTTTCGCTATTTATCTGTTTATTCTGATCCGTCTGATTGCCGAATGAACAGCACGACATGGCGCGTACTTACATAGCTTCTCTCTATCTTTCGCTGTCTATCTGGAAAGTATTATTGCGCGCACTAATGAAGACCCTGTCTCGAGGCCTCTCGTCGCCTCGACTAACCACGATGTTCCACTGAACAAGGGAGATTAGCACGCAGTTCATTACCGAACTGGTATGTCCTTTGCTTTATCCTCTCTCCAAACTCTGCGAATAGCTCGCTATGACCGTTTTGATTTTTTTATTATTAATCTATCCCGATTGGTTTCTCTTGAACAGGTTCCATTACGTCAACGACGAGTGGCAGAAACGAACTACTTACGTGCGCTTCCCAGTCGATAGTTTCCAGCTGCAACAGAATTCTCCTAGCTACGCTCTCTATGCTGTTGTGGTAGGTAATCTTTCGCCTTCATCCTTATACCCATACGCCTGCCTCTATTTTCCGACCACTTTGGTTAAACGATGTCAACCTCCAGCAGATGTACGTCTTTGTACTTTTGAAAGCGAACTTACACAGTGAATTAGGCAGTTTATGAATTTAACCCAAGCCGGATACCGTCAATCAAATTGGGACGATAGCTGGAGTGTTGCCGCAAATTTTCCGGAAACCTTACGTCCAATCTCACGAATTCTACGTGGACGTCTGTGTTTTGTTGTCAAAGCAATGGCGACTTAGGTTGACTCGCTGAATGTCTGAGAGGGCTGGGAGTAGAAGAGTTGTTGATGTCTGCTTGGACTGCTTCGTTTTTCAGATTCTATGAATCATTTACTGCTGTGTTCCCACCTTGGTCTGGTCCTAGTCTAGATCACCGTTTGGCCGCGCCATTTTCGCGTAATTTCCCGATCTTACGGTCACATTGTCTTCAGCAATAGATAGGTTTTCTGTAATCTCCCCATTGATTGCCGTTTGTGTGTTGGTGCCTCTCCAATTATTTCAAGTTTTTTTAGAAATCATTCCGCTTGTATTTTTTTCTAAATCACGGCGGTGTCAGTAGTACGACGTCGCGCATCACTCGAAGCCAGTGAGGCGCAACATCGACGCGCGAGCCCCTGCAGTATTCGTTAATCTTTCATGGGCGAGATGGCCCAAGTGGTTAGAGGGCGGATGTGCTGACCGGTAGGGCCGTGGTTCCTATCCGACCTCTGCCTTTCGACTTCCCCTGTTTAGGCTTGGGCAACCTGGTAGAATCCCAGCCCTCATGCTTCCTTCGGGTAGCATGGCAGCCAGGCACTGGTAGGGTGTTAAAGCTGAGAGGCTTCTTTTCTTTCATGAGCAGTGAACTGGAAAATTCACATATTTTGTCTCGGTTTACCAGATTCTGGATAACAGATATCTTTGTTACATCCGCTCCTTTTATAGAAATCCTATCTAGCTTGTGAATTGGGGCTTTCAATTGAACTTTATTGAGCCTCGCGTATCCATTACAATGTTCAAGCTAATTTCATGGTTATTTGTAATGTACTACTCATAAGGTTGCTGAAAATCCGTCGATGGCCCACGTAGTTTTCGTATTCGCTTTGCGTTTGAGTCTTTCGCATTTCAACGTTTATTTTAGAACCACTTTGGGACAATGGAAAGTGGACATTGTAAGTTTTTCTTCAACGTCTCTACTTTCTACTATCAACGTACATTAAGTTCCATATGCCCGCCTCCCCTTCCACACACACACACTCTTGGACAGTACGCTATGAGTGCCTTTTGTCGGTAATCCATAATTCATGCGCCAGCTCATTTCCTATGCTTATTAGTTCAGCAGAGTGTCAGTTGTATCCGAATTCGCTATCTTTTGTGCGTGTTTCTGGCTGTTTCTGCGCATCTGTGCCTCGTGATAACACCTAATCCCGTACGTTTTATCCTTTTTAAAGACACTGCATTTTGTCGTGGCATCTCTGATGGTTTCTGGTACGAGTACGATGACAGCGCAGTAACTCGAATTCCCGAATCACGTATTCAAGTAAGTCCAGGAAAGTTGTGCTTTCTTCTAACGAAAGTGGTCAGCCGATTCGTATTTTACACGAAAACCGAGTCGTTTTTTGGTGGAGTAATCGTCCTCCGAGTGAAGCCGATCTATGCTGAAGATCTCAGCTGTTTTATTCTCAACAGTGTGCACCTAACGAGACTTTAGGAACTGCCAAACCCGCGACCTCGCAGCTGGTAGTTTGATCACTTAACTGTTCGGCCACAGCATCTGGTGAATCCCAATAAGGGTGCCACTGGCGTATGGTGTTTCTCGACGTTTCTACACACGTTGGCTCCACTTGCGGGACAAAATCTCCGCGGAAAATCCCCTAGTCTCCTCATGCTGCCAACAACCAGACTGTGTATGCGATCCCTATATAGTAAACACCAGCCCCTCACCTGCTGGCTTATCTTAACCATTCTGATTATTGTTGAAAGAAGTAAGCCTTCTGAGAACACCTGGCTGCGAAACGAGAACGCCATATACAGGTTATTTTTTTCGCAAAAATTTTTCGGATTAATAAGGACAATTTAACATATTCTGACCCATCATTCTTGAGAACCGAATCCGAAACTAGGACTGATCAGTTCAACATCACCGTTGTACAACGATTTTCTGTGCGAGTAACTTTAATTGATCCTCACCGACGTATAACCCGGGCCTGTTTGTCTCAATTTGGCTCCGTGCGTTGGTGTTGCAATTGTGTCATAAATATTTAGTTTTGTTGGTAGTTAGAATAAGTACAATAATTAAATAATCCTCTAGCTGTAACACCTTTCCGGTTCCTAGCTGCCATTCAACCCGAGCGCTGAGACACTGCAAGGTTATCCAAGCCTAGACATGAGCAGTCGCGATTCGGATGTTGGGTTCGAACCACGGGCCTTCCGATTGTTCAACCACCAGCTCACGCACCCGACACATCGACAACTGTTCCATGTATGGCCTTAGCATCACTACTTGCACATACACACTTATCATGGTTATTTCGCCGACATCCGCTTGTATGCTTGTCTCGTATCTGCTAATTAGCACTAATTTGTTATACGTCGGGACGGGTGACCTCACGTCTTTTATTTCAAACTGTTTCGCTGAGAGGATTGGCCTCATTCATATCCATATTTTTCCCGTTCTGAGGTTAATTATCTAACTGTCCCACTTTTTTCCACAGAGCAGCGCGGCCTACATACTATTCTACGAACGCCTTCCGCGATTTGATGTCTTCTCCCGTGACGGCACTTAGTTCGGCACGTTCTTGCTTTCTACCGGTCTTTTTGCCACTTGATTCTCATCGGACAAATCGTTTCGGCCCAACATCACCGGATCGCCTAACAACACGGATTTTATGTTTGGCCTTGTTAGACGAATCCAGCGTACTCCACAGCGTAGCTGTGTGTATGCACACACGTACTCAGAGATCCCAGTTAGAATGATTCTTCTAAGTGCAATTGCCTTCTGACTTGACTGCCACTGAATGATGTTCATTCCAATTGTTCAGACAGATTACACTGCCGGTTCCAATTTTTGTACCCTCATACAAACATCCTTTAACTGCGAAACTCTTCTTCATTGTGACTTGTTTTCATGCGTCACATTTTTGTGTGGATTATACTGGTAGACTGCTTTGCTCCACAAATGGTATCCTCCTAAAAGGACCACTTTTAGTTGGTTTGATGAAGTAGGAATTGGCTTGAAAGAACCACGTTTGATCGGTTTCTTCCGAGGGGCCAACCGTAAACGTTCGAGAACAGTCAAATACGGTGAAGGCAAGTCGTCACCAAGGTCACGGGGATTATGGGTTAGGAAGGTGGAGGAGTTGGGAAATTGCGGTCGGTATGTGTGATGTTTGCTCAATCTTTGAACCGTGTGGATTTTTAAAGGTACGCTCTTGCGGATAGAGCTGTGACTAAATCTGCGAAATGTGACCCTCAGATAACGTCTGCCTACAGTCTGTTTGCGAAGTAAAGTCGTTGTAACGCGTGACAAGTCTTTGATTTCGATCCATCATGCGTTTGTCTCCATTCAGACCAGCTTTCGTATGAACTCATTAGTCCACTAGGGCGGGCTTACTGGAATCGTTTCAGTTGAATAGACCACCATATTCACATAATGGGAGATGTGGTTAATTTGGCAATGTTGTGGAATGTAGTTAGCTCAGATGTGCTGCTTGGTTGTTGGTCTGTTCGCCGAGCTTGGCAGTTGGATTGCAAACGTTTCATCACCAATCGGGGTGACATCATCAGTGCAGGGTTGAGTGGGTGAATTCCTCATATTCTGTCTGTGATTATATAGCATCTAAACAGTATCTGGCAGCTCTGAAAGCTATCTTCGCGTAGTTTGGTTGGTTTTCTGTGAATCTGACTCTCAATATCTTGTTTGGTTGGTTGGTTGGTGCATTCCATTCGACATTTGTGTTGGTTGTTCTGTTGTAATTGGGCCGTTTTCTTGCTATGTGGTGTGGATTTGTTCCCTTGACTGGTTGATTCAGTGGCCCTCTGTTTTTAATGATTATCTTCCTTTGATCCAACCAGTCCATTGGTTGTCGTTAGGTTTCTTGGCTCAGAGCTCCGTGACTGTGTGGTTCTTTTGCTCGTAAGGGCTGATAGACCGGGTCAGTGTCGGTGTGTTTATTGATAGATTTTCTGTGGGATACAACGCTTCAACAAACTCTCGCTCCCGCTTTGTTCTTGCGTGAGCAAGTATTTGAACACTGTCCCAATTAAACTTGTGTCCTTCTCTGTCTTCATGGATTGAGACCAGTGACATTGACTCAATGTCACTCCCAATGTTACTTCCACACTCATGGACGTTATTGGACTGCCGGTTTGTATCTCTATACAGGACCAAATTGAATCTCTCTTTCATGTCAAACTCGGAAAACAAGCATGGTTTTGGCGGTCGTAATAGTTCACGAAACGTTCGAGCCTACGGGAGAGCTGGGTGCCTTTAAGCTTTGGAGACTTAGCGTCTTGACTACCGACGAATCAGGAGTTTTTACCCTGCCTCCCTGCACACTATCTGTGTGCCTCAGACGTATTCCTTCAAGATGAATTTCTCATGGCACACACTGCCAATCACCAATAACCATAGTTTGTGCCGGCCTGAAATTGTCAGCCACTGAAGCGTTTCAAACCATGTGGATATGAACAAAAGAGCACGTACTTATGTCTCTGTTGTGGATTGGAGTTAGGCTTTATTGTCAGAAACAAGTCATCACCTAGTTTGCGCGCTTAGAGTCAAAGTTCCCTATTTAGAAATTTCTCATTTTATCTGAAAGGTCTAAACGCTGAATTGAGACTATACTTTATCTCAGAACCGATACTGGCAATTGGCAAGTAACCGGTCTGGATGTCAAGAGCAATCCCTCGTTTATTTGCGCCAGTTCAACTCACCAAACCTGTTTGATGTGCCATTTCCTGGACCAGTTAGTAAGCCTCTATAGTTGTGGCTAGTCAGCAAGACGTTGATCTCTGATCATTTGGAGTAACGTCTATCCTTATGGCGGGTCTTGGTGATATACCCTGATTGACTTGTTGTGATTTCTATGTAGTAAAACAGCAAAAGACCAGCGCTATTTCGGCCTTTGCTTTTTCACCCTACATATCTATCTACACTCAATGGTACTTGCTGGACTCGCTCAATGTTTTTTATCTAGGCTTGGGCAATCTGGTAGTATCTGCGCTCTCAGGCTTCTTCCTGGTAGTATGGTAGTCAGGCACCGAAAAGGTGTCAGAGCTGAATGATTATTCATTCATTTATTCATTGTATTGACTGTTCTTTCAGATCCGGATTATTCATTCATTCATTCATTCATTCATTCATTCATTCATTGTATTGACTGTTCTTTCAGATCCACCCACAGGTGTCCGATGGCACCTCTGCTCTGTGCCCGTTGTGGTGAGAAAGGATACATAAAGCGGCCAAAGACAGTGAGTTGCCTTTCCACCCCGTAACCTGATCTTTACAAAAAGGGTGATGTTTTATGCAAATCATGTTTCTCCCGGTGCTTCGAGGATGAGGTTCACTGGGTGATAAAGAACGCCAACTTGATCTCGCCTGGAGATAAGATTGCGATTGGGGCATCCGGCGGAAAAGGTTTTATTTACTGTTGTGCCATATGACGACTGTTACCGCTCACAGACTCCACAGTACTCGCATATGTTATGAAGCTACTCAATGAACGGCATCACTATGGAGCAGAATTACTTCTCCTTTCCATTGATGAAGGTATCAGCGGCTACAGAGATGAGTCGCTGGAGGTAATGCCCGGTTATTGAGTGATTTTATCCGACTGCTCAGACTGTAAAGCGCAACCAGATGCAGTATGATCTTCCACTGACAATCTTATCCTACGAGGTAAGTGATTCTGCTACAAATTTACAGTGAACACGTGCTACAGGATCTCTTCGGTTGGTCAATGGATGCTATTGTTCAGAAGGTCGGCAACAAACGCAATTGTAAGTTGGTCTTTTCTATCATTCTCTTTCCGTCTAGGTACATTTTGTGGGATCTTCCGTCGTCAGGCTTTGGATAAAGGGGCTCTAATGCTACAAGCGACCAAGATTTGTACTGGTCACAACGCCGACGACGTAGCAGAAACAGTGCTTATGAATAGTGAGTTCAGCTTGTATATGCAATTTGCCAAACGTATTGAGAGGACGATACCGTAAAGAAGCTATTCCCGGGCATCGTATTCGTCCTGCTTAACTTTGTTTCATTTATATGATGTTTGGGACCTCGCAGTGTATCGTCTTGAAGGGAGATACTCTTGTTTTTTACTTCGGTGACTTTTTTATCCTTGCTGGCCTTGTTACCTACTCATGGTTCTCCTCTCTCTCTCTCTCTAATTCTTCCACAGTCCTCCGCGGTGACGTCGGTCGGTTGAAACGCTGTACCGCCATTGTAACGGTAAGTGTTTTTCCATAACCAACGGCCACGCTACGAACAGGGTTGCGACGGTGTGCTTCCTCGATTCAAACCCTTCAAGTACACCTACGAGAAGGAGATAGTAATGTATGGCTCATCCTCTCATCGTTTCTGAGCATTTCAGGTATGCTCGTTTGCACAATTTGGACTATTTTTCCACTGAATGCAAATACGCCCCGAATGCTTACAGGTTTGTGCTCGTCTCATGGCATTCACCGTACTTTCCAGAGGCTATGCGCGAACATTTCTAAAAGATTTGGAACGCTTCAGACCTCGGGCGATTCTTGGTAAGGCATTTGGTTCCGAGTTTGCGTAAACATCTATTGTTGTCCGTGCAGATATTATTCATTCAGGAGAACAAATGGCAATTTCCCAAGATGTCAAGATACCTGTTCAAGGTAAGCCCGCCTCTGGTGATGTTGCAGTTTTGAACTGTTTGATCTTGCTGGATGCTGCTTATTTCCATCTCTTTTCTCTGCATCTTCGCAGGTTTGTGTGAACGATGTGGTTGTGTCTCCAGCCAACTCGTCTGTCAGGCATGCGTTCTCTTGGAAGGCTTGAATGCCGGGCTGCCTCAACTCTCCGTTGAACACAGCCAAGACCATACAGCATGTTCGTCAGCTCAAAGCCCTTTGACGCTGTCGCGAAGCAATACTTGATATTGTTTACTTTTTTACTTGATAATATATTTTGCTGATTTTTAACTCGGCTGTTCTGCTATGGACGAAATGGATCTGGTTGTTAGCTGTTGCTCACCTAATCGAAACTGCACTGAAACACTCTCAGTGAGCTACGTGGCCTTGTGCTCTAAACTAATTAGTTTTTCATTGTGCCTAATCTATGGTGAATGCGAGTGTTCGGATTCCGAAAAACATTCACCCCAAAAAGTCTACGGTTCGCCTATAAGGGTGAATATCGCAGGGCGAGCCCTCTTCACACTAGCGTCGTCGGCAGCACCCTGATATGAGATTTGACCAGCGTAACACGTTCTCAACAGTTTTTCAACTGTGTAATGCGTTTGCCACATGTCAACTGTATAATAGTAATCACATGAGAAGTGAATCCATGTAATGGTCCCGTGGTCCCACGAAATATATTGACGATAGCCCGTCAGTTGTTTACAACCAGCACCGAACCTAGTAGTTCGATACAAACGGTGGCCAAACGAGAAGGTGTACGTTGCTTCCTTGCCAACGCACGTGATTTTGCCATGTACAGGTTTCGGATGCAATTCTTAAATCCACTTCACCTTTGCACGAGTAGGTGGTGTCAAGCCGTATACCAATGTTCAACTTGAAATAGTTAAATAAAATGGTCCGAGTCACGTGAGTTAGTGTTCATCGGAGAAAGGGTCTACATGTTCGCAGAATTACTTCTGCAGGGGTCGAGAGTGGTTCTTGAACCTGAACGGACTTCTGCTGAGTTTGCGAAATTCCGCACAATTATTCATTATCAGACAGGTGGCCGCTTTGGGGGAGGCCTTGGTAGGACTAAATCGAGGCAAGATCTCGTTGAACACAGGTTACTTAATAAGAGAGCCAAGCAGGTGAACACTGGAAAAATTAACACCCTTGGGACAGTCCACCATAGCGGTCAAATTTTCTCCGGAGGCCACCAGCTACCCCTAAATATGGAGGATGAGTATAAGTTGTCTGTTGACCTAACACCTACCATATTATTATCAGTCGACTAGGGAGCTCAACTCAGAACGAGAATGATAGATAATTTAATTAAGTGCTGGTCAGCCCTTAACTGGTGTGTAGGCCATTTGGATACATGTTCTGTAGTTTGAAGTGGGTGAAATTTGGCTCGACATTTTCTGCGCTTATTATGCAGTGTTTAAACACAAGTGTAAACCTATCACACTACTCATAAGTTTACTGAAAACTCTTCGACAGCCCACGACCGGTTTCGCCCTTCTTGCTGCTCATCAGGTTGGCGTACTCGCCGTCAGCCTTATGTTCAGCTCCAATCCAGATTGGATAAAATTCGACAAATACTCTCAGTTGGACAGGAATTTAGTTTTGACAACAGACATAGTTGAATCTTTAGTTTAGGGTGATTCCAGAGGTTCATATGTATTCATTTGAGTCTGCTGTCATGACCAAATTCGTGTGCAGAAATGAGTTTTTTCAGATTCTGCCCCATTGGAGCTTCTCTCATGCATGCACACGAGCAGAGCAAGTAAGTAGTAAAAACGTGAATTGCATACGACACAAAGCCAGTTACGACTGGAACGTCCAAGTTTGAACTGGGAGGGTAAAACTGACCAGAAATCTCACGAACTCCGGCTGATGTTTGACAAAACATCAGCGCCTTATTCAAGGCCAGGAATAGTGCCATATTTTGTACGATGCCGTCGGTAAACGGGGCAGGTACCTGATGTCCTGAAGGGCATGCGAATCCACTCCGTCGTTGCAGATCGCCCGTGACCTCCTTAACACAAACCTAACGTCCGAAACGGTTGACTGCCCAACCTCTCGTCCGTCGTTGCAGATCGCCCGTGACCTCAACACAAACCTAGCGTCCGAAACGGTTGACTGCCCAACCTCTCCCCCCTGGTGAACAATAGGAAGGAATTGTAAACAGCTACTGTCTCTTCAAAGGTCATTTTTACGAATAGAAAATGCACTACTGGAACTACCGCATACCAAATGTGAAAATTGGAGACAACCAACTAGAGAGGATATTTTTATTTTCAGGGCAGTACACTCGAAGGTGTACAGGAAATATTTCCTGATAATGTTAGATGCTCAACAGAATAGCATACCTGTTCGCCATAGGAGAGCTTGCTTCCCAGTTATCATCCACAACTTATGAGATCTGCACCCATTTGGACGACGAAGAATTCTTACCAAATGAAGTCATTTTCGACAACCTCATAACAGAGCCATGAGCCCACCAGCCTGGTCAAAACCTTCTACATATATGTCTTTGCTTGAAACATACATTATCTAGAAATTACAAAGGAAGACTTGTCTTACAGAGCTGTCTTACAAAGCTGTGGTGCCTTTGAAATGTCTGGCAGATATTCGAAGGTATTTGTACTTACCAATGGCAGATCCATCCACAGGATTGCGTCGTAAAAACTTCGTGTGCGAAAGTTTCGGTAGACAAACAATTCCAAAATCTTTTCGCTTATGATAAAGAGACTTCTTTTGTTCAACTGATGATTCATCTCGAGTGATAACCACACACCACTATATGTCAACTCGTCTGATCTAAAGCCGCTCTACATGCACAGCAGTTCCACTGATTCTGTTCCATTCAGCCCAGAAATACTCGGCAATTTCCACTTCTACGGCAACCCGTAAATCGTAATCCTCGTCTAAAAATTCAACATTTTCGTAATCTATTCTGCGTTTCATGTTTTGTAGTTTCTGAGCATTTGGCCAGCCCGACACTCAACTGCGCTGCTTCACTTTCTGTTTATTCATTTCCTGTGCTCGTCTGTTCTTGTGCGAAGTTGTAATCTGGTCTGGCCTAGGTAGACCTAAGTCTCATCTCATTTTGTAAACGTAGTCTATGATTTCAACTGCCGACAGGTGATACTTCAAATGCATCAGTGCAAAGAGTAGTTCTTTCCTATAGTCAGGACATATCCTATTGAGGACATTTATATGCTTCGACAAACGAAGAGCGTTACTATACAGGCTCCATCTGGCTGATCAAAATGTACACTGATCTGGACACATGTATGAAAGTTGCTTTATATGACTTTCACGGTTGTCATTTCTCCTGACAGGCTGAAATCCTCATGATACAGAGTTGTATCGCTACACTTTTTGCAAGCTCATAAAGCAACCAGTTTACTAATATGAATTTACGGTTGTATAGCAGGCACACGATTTGACATCCAGGGGTTTTGACTGATAGACTCATACTAACTAACTTGGATACTTAGCCGACTATCTATGCTGTGTATTACTTGAATCTACACTTGCGGCTACGCTTGGAATGTCACGTGCTCAGCTGAGATTATTGCGACATTCTTCGTGGTATCTGGTCTCTATCAATATGTGTTTCATTAACGTCAGTTAGTTTTTGGGAAGTATAAAGCTAGCGTTTCACGATTACTTGTCTTGCGGTAGCGAGGCCTAGCCATGGCGGAAATCAAAATGGATGTGAGAATCAGTGAGATGGATAAAGACATGGTGAAAAGCGTTGTGGACATCACAACAGAAGCCATGCAAAAATACAATGTGGATCGTGATATTGCATCCCATATAAAGCATGAATTTGATCGGAAGTATGGTGTTTTGTGGCATTGTGTTGTTGGAAAGGACTACGGAAGGTGAGTTATAAGAGATGCGTCCACCTCTGACAACTGTGATGATACAAAACGTGACAATAAGGTTTGACTGTTCGGCTTATGCAGTCTGCCGAAATCATAGAACTAGCAGCTAAATTCGCTGTTCATTTCATGTAGATCCGTCTTCTTATGTAGGGATCAGTTGTTCAGATAAGACCCCGTTTAACTGTCCCCTTGAATTTTCAGTCGTTAAATCCCATTTGGATGGAATCATTTTTGGGAGGACACCACATTTTGTCGGTGACTTCAGGTTTTCTCTCCAAGGGGGTTATGTTATAGGTTGTAATCGATTGAGCCATTTGAAGAATTCGTGTTAACTCTGTTTTGAGTAGTCCTGCTCTAGTCCTGGTGCAGTTATTCTGGTAAGTGTGTATCGAAAAGGGGGCAGCACTGGAATCAAGTTTTGCTGTTATTTGAACTCATCAACAATGCATATTTATCTTCGGCCACGCCTGAGTATGACATCCGGGCATCTGACATATGAGGCGAGCCTGTTATCACTAATTCAAAGGCGCCCGCTGGACGCACCTGAATGTATGCGCCACAGTATTTTATTATTTCACATTGTGACACAGCTGTCCTTCGTGGACTGCCCTCCTGGTTTATTGACAAGGTTCTTTAGAAGACCTCGTCTCTTTTATTCAACCTTGATCTATGGAAGGAGCGAGTTGCCACCAGACGAAGACAACCCAACAGTACTGGAAGGACAATTAATCTGTCACCTTTTTCGTCGCAGGTTACACCTCTGCGCGTTGGGATCAATTAATTTGCCTATTTCTGTCTCTCATTCACTGATAAACGTGTCTCGTAAGGCAGTATTTACACACGTGTTTGCATGGAACCGCACAATCACAGAATAAACGCAATTTTCAAGTCACATCCAGGCAATTATTTCTGTCTCTCGTTCACTGATAAAGCGTGTCTCGTAAGGCAGTATTTTCACACGTGTTTACATAGAACCGCACAATCACAGAAGAAACGCAATTTTCAAGTCACATCCAGGCAAAAACTAGGTTGCATCTGTATATTAGTAATACACTACTCATAAGGTTGCTGCAAATTCATTGACAGCCCACGACCGGTTTCGTCCTACTTATGGCTCATCAGGTAGGCGCAGTCCCCGAGTTTCCGTCAACCTTATGTTCTACTTGAGACCAAATTGCACGAAATTAGCGAAACACTCATTTACAAACTAATTCGGTTTTACGAAAGACTCAGCTGGAACCCAGCTGAATCTCACGTTTGTGATCTTTCCAGGCAACTGAATGTACAACAGCACAAACGAGAGATTCACCTGGGTTCCAGGTGAGTCCTTTGAAAAACCAAATTAGTTTGCAAATGAGTGTAGGTTGCATCTGGTTTGTATCAGTTTTACTTGTCCTCTGGGATTACGCACAAGTTTTCCCCTGTGGCATGAATCAACTGACCTTACCTTACCGTGTATAGTGCTCCGTGTAACTAGTGCTTTTTGATTCGACCGTCAACACGGAGAATCATCGGATGTTGTGAACAACGAAGATAACTTGCACTTATCCAGCAACAAATCACTCCTTGATGTCACCTCGGTGAGCTTTGTCTTCACGAATTCCAGTTAGTATGCAGTCTTTTGCCGGATATGTCTTCGTAAACACCTTGGCCAGTATCACTTAGGGAATATCTGATCGATTGCTCTTAACCCAAGCGGAACCGACTGGAGCAAAGTTTTACCGATGTATTAGTATGTCCTACTCTAGCGAGGTGGAATCAAACTTGTTTGATTAAAGTTGATTATGGATCAAACTCCTTTATCATTGACGATGCCGAACAGGAGAATGCATAATCCAATTTGGGCAGAAAATTCTCGTCCTTTTTCCTCAGCTTTGTGTGCATCCGGTGCTAAAATAATCACACGGTTAGGACCGAGGGACTTGGTCACGGAAGTTGTAAGGTATGGTGGTTAACTGTTGTCCTCATCCAGCACCGTTCTTATGGGCAGCGTTCCCAAGCACCTTTGTTTTGTGATATTCCTCATACGGTTTGTTTTTGGTTGCTCACCAAACTTGCATAGCGTAAAACCCTAATGGGGTCATCCAGCATCTTATGGGCAGCGTTCCCAAGCACCTTTGTTTTGTGATATTCCTCATACGGTTTGTTTTTGGTTGCTCACCAAACTTGCTTGCAGTGAAACCCTAATGGGGCCTCCTGAGAAAGAAATTAACGACAGGACTGTTTTGACGAAATTTATCAGGCCCCATTGACATGGCACAAACATGTCTATGGAATCCACTGTGCTCTGGGTCATGAGATCTATTCCGGCTATATCAAGTAGTACAGTGTGGGTCACGGTCACTCATGCACTTCTTAGGAGATTACTTCCTAGGTGGTTTGTTCCTAACGAAGTCAGCTTCGATGTTGCACACATATAACGATGCTTATCAACTACCTACCATCCTCAAACTCCGGTCGCAGTGGACACCATGAAGGTGAGCTTAGGGTATTTCCTGTTAAGAGCGGTCACTCTACTGTAACTGCTCAGGTAAAAGCCGAAGAAGTGAAGATTTCATCTAGATTAACATCAAAAGACGATTTGGATACTATCAGCAGAGAGGGCTTGCAGGCGCATAACCCATGGGCAAATGCGTCACCCAACAATCGTTAAAAATTACGTTTTAGTTGGCTCATATCGCGAGTATACCTGTTGCTAACTAGCAATTTTTCCGGGCATCAGTGAAGCTTTGAGCATCGCACTTGTCAAACGTAGCTGAAATCAAATCAATTAGTTAGGATGCCTTACGGAAATGAAGTCTTTAGTTCTACGCGCCACAAATCGAAATTCGCCGTACATACAGACCGCAAACAGCTTATGTCCTTGAACTGTTTTGCAGATCTGAAGGAACTTGAGTGGACAAATTACCGAGTAACGTTGACCTTATGAGTAGGTTATGAAATAAGTTGAATAATTTGGTTGTGACACACCAAAACAGAGCTGTGACTTTAAAAAATGTATCTTTTGAAATCGGTGTATGTCAAACTTATAGGCTAAGGTGTTCACGAACGGCGAAGATATCCGCTAATGAAATTCACAACTAACACACTTTCCCACTGACGACGTCAACACAAGTGGTACTGAAACACTCGGCAAACGGGTCAGCATGCACCTTATTCGTTGTAGGTGTTTGCCGGGTTTACAGCACTCGCGTTGAATAGTCATCCCCCTGTCCTGACGCGATTATTTTGGTGAGTTTTCACTGTAGGGTGGGGAAGCAATGGACTCGGATCACCCTGTTGACGGAGTTGAGTGGCAATGCCGAGGTTTAAACTCCGGACATCCGGCACGTGAGTCAAGCATGTCATCACTACTCCATTGGCGCGGTCATGACGCGCCTCAAGTTGCACATCTGTCAGGGATTCCCAGGCAAGTAGCGCACTGCCGTTTAAATCCTGTTTGCAAATAATTGTAGGTGGTTGTGGGAGCTGCAGCACTGTTGTTTAGCCCTAATTGGAGTGAATCTCGTGTCCAGCGGTTCCGCCGTTTGGTGTGACTCATCTGAATCACTGCGGAGGGCAGGATGACTGTTCAAATGAAACTGATGTGAACGTGAACCGCTTCACTGCCGCTATCCAGACTTAGGAAGATTGACGCTCTGAATCTGGGCCCCTTGTTGCCATGACGACATCTGAAAACCACGACCCATAAAGGCATTTGGCTGATTTTGTTCGTTTGGAGTTGACATAGGTTGTCTCATGCACTTCTACGAATACACTCTAACAGTTCCACGAATGCTTTCGGATATCGTACGCAACCGTGTTTATTACTCATACAAGTTTAACTTGCACTTTCAGTTATGTCTCCTACGCGGGCGAAAACATGATCTATTTCTACGCTGGAAATCGTGCAATCCTCCTGTTCAGAACCAGGTAGATGAATTGCTCCGTAATTTAAAAAAAATACATTTGTCATAAATAATCTTATTTTCTACGCGATGTGTTAGATAAGCCGTGCTTTTAGCCGATACGTTGCGCTCCGTGATTGAGTCGTGTTTAGAAAAAGCGCATGCATTCTGTAGACTATGGTGGAGCGGACTTCCTTTGGGGGCGTCACTGCGTGGACAACAAATCATTACTGTAAAACAGTATGCGAAGCCTGATTCACTCATATGCCAGAGTAAGACCATCGGTCAATCGTTTTCAGGACGAAATTATTCACCATACACAGTACCGTTGCTAGTTGTCTGTGGCCGGAATTCGACAGCCGGTGATTTAGGATGCAACAAGACGATCACCACAACGCGAATCCACAGAAGGTGTAGAAGCAAAGCTCTAAACCGACGTCTGACTAGAAAAAGGAAGTTCGTTGGTTTGATTTTGTTATCCAATATAACCTGTGGTCCGTCTGTGTCTCACTCGGTCCTACCTTCGTATAGTTCCCGATACTGGCTGAGACGACTAAACATGCGCGCACGGTTGTACCAGGAGTCTGTTTTCGGTAGAAAAACCTTATCAAACGGCCGAATTCAGTTTACCGTACTTTTGAAGAACTATGGCCCCACTTTCCGGATCATCAGTAGAAGCTGATATTTACCTTTGCACCTTACACTTACCACTGAGCTAACCAGAGCAGACTCAGGTAATCACCCCCAGGAAAAAAATGTAACATCCGACGTCGATCCCTGTGGAAAGTATTGGTCTCCATCAGAAAAAGCGGCATGGCCAAACGTACATTCTGACAAATAGGTGTTAAGACTAACAGAGATCGTTGTTTGAAGCCATCCGAAATGCCCTTACACCTTTCCGTGGCGACATACTCAAGTACAACTTAAGAGATTACGGTCCCATCAAGCTGGCTGTATCCAATTTAAAACTTATATTACCACTAGTTGGACTGAAAAGGACAGTACCCGGATGGGATTAGAAGCTGATTCTGATGCCAGTCAACACAGACCATGTACGTGGAGTAACACTAGAATTACGGAGATAAAAGCCAAAGTTGGACTCCTGAGAAACCGTCCCGTTTCTGCCAACACATGTCACCGGGATTTTCGAAAATTATTTGGGCGCTCCAAAAAGCGGAAATAAAACTGTCCACATGAAATAAAGCGTTCGAATTTTGTAGAATCTCTAACCCATACTCAGGCTGAAATATGGAAACTACCCATGAGAAAATCAGTGCTACTTTGGAAAATGACGTGCTTACATCTACGCAAAGTAAAGCACAGTCTGATATACAGAATGAGACAAAGGCCACACTGAACCCAGTTTGGCTGCGAATTTTCACAATATTATTTATTGCATTTGATTTACTCCAACCCCCTTGCCGTGTGCAGAAGGTAAGCGCGACCCATTGAGGTTTTTCACAAGTGTCGAAAGTTACACACTCGGAAAGTATAACCAGATTTACTTTGAGTTCCACTATCATGAGGGCACTTCCTGTGTGGAAGAAATGATAGAAAGTCTCGTTCAATTGCCTTCTGTGATCCAAACCATGTTACGTTGGCTCTGTTGTGGGCCAGTGCTGCGTACAGATGCCTGGAACTGGGCTATTTATGAGGCAGAATTTATGGCCTATGCAATTGTAGTTTTGTTTGTTTTTCAACGCAGTTGAATTTACTTCCATTTATGACAGCATCCGATGGTATCTATCAATGTAGCGCGCCATCACCATTGTGTTGCACAGTCACAAATACATCCGTCACATCTATGTTTAAGAAACCCCATAGCTGCCTCTCCCTCCTTCAGTCCCTGTGTGCCTCTAAGGCGATTATTCATTGTTCCTATCTGAATATCTGGATACCTTTGTTTGGTATTTAACTGTCAAGATCCTGCTTTAATCATATCCTCAGACGAGGGATTCACTTAATCCTGTGCAAACTTATGGTGTTGAATCCACCGTCTGGAAACTCTATCCAGGACGAAACCGTCAACCGAAAAGCAACTTGCACCTTAGAACGACAGACACACTAGGTCGAGTAACACTCGCTTGATAATGAATGCAATGAACATCCCATTCTTTGGATAGTTGTGCTGTAATGTGTATATTGATCGTGCTGTGAAATGTTTTATCAAACCGTACTTGTAAGAAATGAGAGAAAAACTAATGAAGTGTCGAGATTGATTACCCCTGCTAATTCAAGGTGGACCAATAATTGTAGAGTTTTCGCATGTCCAATTGGCAGAACTACCTTAAAAAGTCAACAACTTTGGGCTCAGGTTGCAGAGACCAACTGAGGAAGGTCGGTCTCCTACTCCGATTCGCGAAATCAGTGAAGCTCCGTCACCCTACATTGGTTGTGAACTGTGTATCTGCCAACTGCGAACCTTATAGTAACTTCTTTGCAAGATTTCCGTAGACCATTTGGGAATACTAAGCGGAAGATGCACACTCTCCGAAAAGTTAGCTATCAGCCACGCAGATAACAACGCCAAACGCAATCAATGACACATAAGTGTGAGGCGATCGATTGCACAGCGCACCTCTCAAACAAGTCACGTGTGTGACACCCCTCAAGTATTCATGGCTTTATTCCGCAATCGACTCTCAAAAGCGTTGGCTTTTGGAAGAGACGTAAAAGATGACAACAAATGCACAAGAAATATTGTTTCAAAGCATCCGACCTGCTCGAAAATGACTACGCCCCACCTTTTGTGTCAAGAAAGCGTACTGACAGATATTTTGATATACAAAATATACTATTTTACGTTTGCAGCCGAGGAGGCAATCGAAAATTTAGCAATCTATGTCTTCTTGTCATTTTGACAGGTGAGACTAAGTGCTACAAGTTATGTAAGCACTGCTTATCATAGATTGATGAGGCTAGCCAAGGTATTCGGAAATAAACGTCTCAAGGAATAGCAGTTATGATGAACTGAATACCTGGGCACGGTAATAACGCCAATGCCTCATCAACCAATAACAAATGCTGAGTGAAGATGACTGGGTTATTGCAGTTGGTTGGACTTCTGAACAGAAAACGACCTGCGCACCTAGGAAAAATGCCGAAGAATCTCAATTAACTTAACTTTCAGGTCATTGGGTTAACAGTCCCCAGTAGGTATACGCAGCTCCAAGTATGTCCGTCTTAGCTACTTAAACTTAAAACGCCACACGACATCATACACTAATCAACAGACAAGACGCCAGACTGACCAACGGTATCAGTTTGGCCTTACAAGCACCACGACCAAGGCTGTGGCTTGGTCAAATAGGTGTGGCGAGTCTTTTGCTCCATCAAACCCACCGGCTTCAACTGTGGATGAACATACTACTCACAAGGCTGCTGAAAAACCATCATAAGTGAATCATTAGTTCCGCTCATCTTTGGGCCCGAAAGGTAGGCATGGTCCACAAGTTTCCTGCAAGCATATGTTCTACTTAGACACCAAGTTGTCTGTAATCGGCGAAATACATTCACAAAGGAATTTGATGTTCGCAATGCAGATTTTCTTGCTGTAAGTTAAGGTGATCTATTTTCGAAAAAGTTTGGTGACAATCGGTAGGTTTATTGCTGGGCAACGTTTCGCTTTTGACACAAAAGCTAGGTTCCGAGGTTGGTCGAGATTTGAAGCGGAAGGAGAACCAATCAGCTAAGTCAAGCTAGATCTCTGTTGGGTGTCGGCCGAGGGATTTTAGTGT